ATAACATGCTCTGGAAGGTCAGAGGAAAGAGAAAAATCGTATCTGGTGCTGATGTCTGGAGAGGCTTCCTGTGAAGAGGAAGCAGCCTTTTGAGATGATTTAGCAGGTGGGATCTTGGCATAAGATGGTTATGCCAGGTGGAGGGAACAGCCAAAGCAAGATGAGAAAAGCTTGGGTGCTACCTGGGGATCATCCAGAGAAAGAAATTGGATGTCAAGGTTGATGGATATAGGAGAGAATTCGGAGGCCCTGTCCATCAAACGCTGCTTCTCACAACCTGGGGACAAGTGAGATTTGGACATGAGGACACCTGAGACTCAGCTTCTCTCCGTCCTCCTCCCTGACCACACAGAGCCTCCTGGGAACACCACAGCATCATCGTGAGATTCACTCAGCACCTGTCACAAAACCTACTCGAGCCAGTGGGGCATAGCTCGTGCCTTGGTGTCCTGTAGTTTGCCTTGTCTTTCTATCAGGTCACAAGCATCACCGGGAAGCCTGTAATGCACACACATTTCACTGTCCCCTGACCCCTGGCTGGCACCATGCTTTAGTGATTACTCCATCAGCTTGTGCCTCGAAATGGTTTTCGTTTTGAAAAACGGATCAGAAAGTTTTGAAAACAGTGTTGAGATTCCTTTATATAGAGGGAAGCACTCTGATTCTACTTTTCTGACATCTTTACACTCATCCTTCTATGGCCTCTTTACAGGAGATCCAGTTGATGATATATTTGACGAACAAGCCGTAAATGATCTTTTGGTGGAGTTCTGCTTGAATTAATGCTATGTACCCAGCAAATATTACTGTATTCCCCACTCAGTAAACAGTGTATTTAATTCATAAGCCGTCCAGTAAAAATACATGCACTGGAACTGCGCGTGTAAGATCTGGCGAGACCGTAGAGTCTGTCCTTTAATTAACAGTCTCGTAGCGGCGTCACTGTCCAGTGTCCTGGTTTTGCAAACATACTATAGTTACATAAGATGTCACTGGGGAAAGCTGGGTGAAGGGTATGTGAGAACAGATTGTACTATTTTTGCAAATTCTTGAGTCTTAAGTTATTTCAAAATAAAAATGTGTGTGTGTGTGTGTGTGTGTGTGTGTGTGTGTTACAGAACAGATTGTACTATTTTTGCAAATTCTTGTCTTAAGTTATTTCAAAATAAAAATTTGTGTGTGTGTGTGTGTGCGCGCGCGCGCGTGTGTTACAGCAAGACAAAGAGATCATCTAGTCCAGTTGTTTTCAAACTTCTATTTTAGCCTCAGCAGCTCCCAGGCACCTCGTGCCAGCCAAAGGGCCCCATGACAAACCACTGTAAAGATGCTGGTCCAGTCCAACACCTTCAGGAGCCAGATGAGGGGGTCGGCGCCCAAAGTAGTAAAACACACCGCTATTTGGTGACCGTCAATAGAAACCCGGAGGCTGAGAAGTGTTTCGGTGCAGTTGCTGTCTGCACATCACGAGTCACAGCTCTTTAGCTAGCGCTGGTCTCTTCTGTCGGACTGGGAGAGATGGATTAGTTCCGCGTGCCATTTCCGGCGTGTGGGAGATGTACTCGTCCAGTTGGGGGCGGCCTGCGTGGGCCAGTTGGCCTGGCAGACGGTTTCAAAATTTACCACTCGGTTGGGGCGTTTGTTTCAGGCAGGGGGGGCAGGAGCTCCGGACCTCACAAAAGTCCCCAGGCTTCTTGCCACCTTGGCATCCACTCCAGCCACCTCTGAGGACTGAGGCTGATTGGCTTTCCTCTTCCTTCCCATTTGGGCCCACATCACTGATGTATCCTGAGGCGTCTTGCTTGACTTCTGAAGATAGTATAATTGTGCTAATTTGTATTCGTTTAGGGATTTTCAAGTTGCTCTTTTTTCTTATGTTCCATAAGTTAAGCCTCACCCCAGGCTATGACATAGGCAGACTGGTTTTGTTTCCGCTTTATAAATAACTGACAGGACTTTCCCAGGTCACTGAATTTGCATCAAGGCTGGAGTCAGAACACAGGTGTCCAAGATCCTGGTCAAGGCGCTTTTTCTAGGAGAGATCGTGGTTATTGAAAATTACCTATGCAAAAGTGAGGACCAACACACAGGTGTCGCGGTGGTTGCTGTCATTGTCATCATAGGCCAGATCCTTGGCAACTCTTGATTTCGAAGTGGGACTACTGCAAGACTTGGTGATTCTCCAGGGTTATCGGGGGGTGGAAGCGATGGTTTCCTCCCTTCCTACATCTCCAAACAGTAAGAGCCTGAAGGCGCCATGTGGGGGTTGGATGAGTAAGACTTAGATTTTCCTGAAATGTGAAGCAAGTTACCCGTGTGCCACGTCAACAGAGATCGATGTGACAACCAACTAGCAGGACAGCTGCCCTGGAGCCGCCTGGCACGCCCGGGTTCCAGTGGGCTGTGTGTCAGCCGCCACGCTTGATTTCTTTAGCCCCAGTCGTTGACGCCT